AAAGAAATCAAGCTCTAGGACATTATTTGAAGGGACTAAAAATCAAGATTATTAGACGTAAAAGGAAGGAATATAAAGTTGGTTTATCTGATCAAGCTTAAAATAGATATGTTATCTTTGGTAACCCTTAATGGACTTTTGCTGACATCAGCACCGAAATGGAGAGGCTTTAAGGATTTGTTTATAGATAAGAGATGGGATATGGGAAGAAGAGATTATTTGTTGCATTTTAAGAGAAGGTGATAAGTTACTAGATTGTTTATATTTGTTGTGATGAATGGAGAAGTCATTTCTTTATATTTTTTCTTTTCTATTTTTCTATTTTTTTTCTTTTTTTCTTTTTTTCTTTTCTTCTATTTTTTATTTTTATTTTATTTTTTTAGTTTGTATTAGTTTGTATTGTTGTATTTGTAATTTTTAATAAAATCACTATAAAAAGATGAGAATTTGAAAGAACAAAAGTCACTGCATGAATTGGCATATGGACATGATGGAAGCAGGGATAGAAGCTGTAGTGAATGGTGTTGGTGTAATCTAGATTTAGATTTTCATTTTTTATATGTTTTGATCACTGCTTCACACTCTTTCTGTGTTGCTTATTCAAGAAGGGAATGGTGTGATGGATATATATGATGTATGTAATGGTTTGCTTCTCTGATAAGCTAAGTGCACATAGTTCACTCCCAAGGAAAACATGTTAGGGAGTCGTTAAACTTCCTTGTCAGACTGCACTTCCAAAATCCTGTTAGCTGATTCTGTTCAGTTGCTCAGTGAACAAGTAGTGCTTAAAAGTGTCCATTGCACAGAACTATAGCTCAGGCTAGAAATATTAAATGAAGTTTATAATGTCAGCGACAAGATTGAAATGATTTTGTGGCTCTTTCCAGGTAGATTCAATGAGTCACTTTGTAGAATGCTCCAGGAAAGAACAAAAATAAGGAAAATGGAGAGAATGAAATGTAATTTTATGATGGCTGTTTAATTTGCAATAAATGATATTTGTTTTGATGCAGCCTTTCATTGTTGTTGTTTCATGTTTTGTTTCCAGTACGATCAACTATGTAGTTGTCCATGCCAGATTTAGGGACATCTCAAATGAACAGGTATAAAATTTACACCTGCCCTCAAAGGAGAGGGTAGAATTCTAATAAAAAGAAGGTAGGGGTTTCTTAGAGGTTTTGAGGCATCAGGTACATTAGCACTTGACTTATGAGACAAGTGCTGTTTGTGTTGAGATATTGTTATTTCTAGGAAAGCAACTCTGCTGCTAACTGTAAATATAAAGAAACAAAAATAAATACCATGGTTTTTAAAGAATTCTGAAGAGAGAAAGTTAATTATTTGTTTTGTTTCCCTTTCTTTTAGAAGTTGGGGGGTTTGATGGGAGGTATTGTTTATCTTTTAATTATGAAAGCATAACCTTTAAAAATCCATTTGTTGAAGTTTGCCTCTTAGCTTGGATGCATAGCAGTTATCCCCACCAAGTAATCTGTTTACAACTGAATTTGTATTGCATGCAGTTTCTCTGCTCCATGTTAGTTCTGTCATATGTGAGCTGTGCTTATAGTACACTCTCTTCTGTCCTTAAAGGCTCAGTAACCTTTTGAATCAAGGAGCAAATTGTGAGTGCAGTTGTGCAATTGTTTATCACAAGGATGTTTTATGAAAGAGTAATGTGCGAAATCATCTTGCCTCATTTAGCATAAGGCTTTTAAGGGTACAAAATAATTGCATATATGTTTTAAACCATTTATTTACATTTATTTTCCACTTTTATATGATGTTTTCAGTCATCTCCCATTCCACATCTGATCAGTTCAGCATTGCTATAATTTGGATGCCTTTAGATTTTTCATTGGGTACCTAGGCTACAAGAGAATTTAGTAGTAGCCTTGGAGATGAAGTCAATGAAGAGTTACTCAATATTGCCAAAATAATAATGTTTTATTTTGAAAAGACATTTTTACATAGTGCAAACATGCTTCATTTCATTTACTACAGAATGCGCATAGTTTTTAATCATGTAACTTAATTTTAAAAAAATAAAATAGTTGCTTAAAAGAAGTGTTATTTCATTGTAGTTTCTAGGAAGATTGCTAACCTAAAAACTAAGATGTGAAGATAGCTAGCCTAAAAAACTAGGGTGTTCACACTATGCTGAGACACTAAACTGACTTAACTTTTTTTTTTCTTTCAGCAGCTTCATGAAACTGTAAAAAGGAAACATGATAGTTCTGTTTCACCTCAAAATGGCGACCAGCCAAATGGCTTTGGGGACATGTTTCCTGTGCCTAAGAAACTGTGTCATGATGATAGTCTTGGTGGGTTGAGTGGCTCCTCCAATGGAATACCTCCTGTATCACCTCTACACCAGCCTGACAGCAAACCTTCCAGTGGAGAAAATTTGCAGCTTAATGGAAAACATTCCATAGGCCTAGATGGGATAAGCAAAAAGGATCTGCCAAATTCTAGCCTTCAGTTGAATGGAAGCAGTGATGCTGATGATTCATTTGCTATGGTTATTAATAAAGAGCTCAAACAAGAACCAGATGATCTTCCTTGTATGATTACGGGACCAGGAAGTTCTATATCACAAAACAATTTGATGTCTGATCTTAACCTTAATGACCAAGAGTGGGAGGAGCTAATGAATGAACTTAACAGGTCAATGCCTGATGAGGATATGAAAGACCTATTTACTGAAGACTTTGAGGAAAAGAAGGATGCTGATCCTTCAAATTCAACTGCACAAACTCCTTTACCACAAGATATCATTATAAAGACTGAATTTTCCCCAGCAGACTTTGAACAGGAACAGATAGGATCTCCACAAGTCAGATCTACCTCTGCTGGCACATTTATTAGTACGTCTTCTGTCCCTGTTACTGCTGCTTCTCCAGCAGTTAATAATTCTCAAACAATATTTCAGCCTTCGAATCAGTCCATGTCTGAAAATCCCAACCAGTCAATGATGCAATCATCAAGCCAGGCACAAAATGTTCAGAGGCCTCTATCTAATTCATTGTTATCTGGACAAACTGCAGGGGGTGCCAAAGAGATGTCATCTGCTAAACAGCTGCAGCAAATAGCTGCTAAGCAAAAGAGAGATCAGTTGTTACAGAACCAACAGCAGGTCCATCCATCCAATCAGATTTCTAGCTGGCAGCAATCTGGACCTTCTCACAGTCCATTGGCTGTCCCATACACTATAGAAAATCCAACTAGCCCTTCTGTTTACCAGCAGGACTTCAGTAACCAAAAACTCATGATACCCAATATGCCAAACAAGAGTTCTCCTAGGGCAGGAGGTAATTATCATGGTGGAAATATGCTAAGCCATCAGGCAAGCAACATAAATCAGAACTCAGCATCTAATCAAAACTCTGTGCTAGATTATGGGAATACAAAACCTCTTTCACATTACAAAGAATGTGGGCAAGGAGTTACAGTGCCTGGACAAAACAAGTCTTCTATGTTAGCATACCTTCAGCAACATCAGCAACCTACATTGCCTCATATGAGTGATGAGCAGGGTGGGTTATTTGTAATGAAGAAATCTGGAAATATTGCTTATAGGCCCTTAGTACCACACAGCCAGGTAAGTGTTTCTAGCAGCTGGTTGGATATAGTAAATGAGAGGGGCTGAATAAGTGGAATAAACAAGCTAGTTAGCTCCATTGTGTACAAGTAGTCTTATGGTAAAGAGGATAATGGAATCACAAAAATCAACCTTTCACTGAAAAAGCAACATGTTATTCTTTATCCTTTGAAAAAGTTTGATCTTTTCAGAGGGAAGGTGATTTAAAATGCATTCTCTATGTGTAGTTTTTCTCTCTTCTTTCTGAATTGTTTTTTCAGGATTGGTATACAGTTCAAGATCTATTCACTGGGATGCAACGTATGTTATGAAGATATTTGCTTGTGGGTTTTTTTTTCCTTTTTCTGACAGCGTGCCCAGGATAGAAACGTTTTCTTTGAAAATCATTATTAGTAGCATGGAAAACAAGCTGAATTTTGGCAATTGTTTATGCTTTTTATTAATTGTGAAAAGGCTCCATAGACATGACCATAATCCTACACACGTTGTTAAATGTTATTGATGATGTGAACATGCAAGACCCTAGGAAACTGAGGGCAGGGGAACTATTTCTGTTTTCATTTGCTGTGGAATTTCATTAGCTACCTACCTCTTGTTTGCCTATGAGAATAAATACCTTGTGGTAAGCAAGGAAGTGTTGAGCAACATATCTGTGTTTACCATCTCCTACTGAGCAACACACTGACATACATATTTTTATTATTTTGTATTAATATCCCTCTTCTCCCATAGCTCACTTCTCTCTTCTCCTGTTGCCCCCAGTGACAGGATAACAGAATAGGGAATATGGAATATTTGTTTTGTAATATTTTACTAAATCTGATTAACAAAAGAAGAAACACGAATACACACATACCGATTGCATTAAAAGTTAAACCGATAGCTCACTTCTCTCTTCTCCTGTTGCCCCCAGTGACAGGATAACAGAATAGGGAATATGTAATATTTGTTTTGTAATATTTTACTAAATCTGATTAACAAAAGAAGAAACACGAATACACACATACCGATTGCATTAAAAGTTAAACCGGGAAAGAAAAAGAAGCCTGAAACATTCCATTATAAAACAGCTCCAAAAAGTTTGCCTCAATTGCTCAAAATTCCTCTTTCTTGCCCCTCTGATAACAAATAAATAAATGTTAATAGTCCTTTACTGCAAATGAGATTTATCTTTCCAATGTTAGATAATAATTCTTTTGGCCATATCTAAAGTTAAAAATTTCACAATTCTTGATACTTTGATAGACTCCAAAAACTAGTTCTGTAGCCAGAAAATACATATGCTTGACATGCAACAAGTAGTCCTAAGTCATATAAGAATCTTTTGGATTTTGGCCCCAAATGTGACAATTACAGGTAGTCCTCAACTTACAATCATTCATTCAATGACTGTTCAAAGTTACCAACGTGCTGAAAAAAGTGATGACCAGTACCTGAAGTTAAGGTCGTTGCAGCACCCACGTGGTCACGTGATCAAAATTCAGTCACTTGGCATCCCACCTGTACTTACAACCGCAGGGGTGCTTCAACTCCCCCCCACCTGCCTATCTCCCCCATCTTTCCCCTTTTGCCCCCCTGCCGCCCTGTGCTCCACTGCCCCAGCTGACCTTCACCGTCTTCTCGCTCCCACTGCTGGCAAGGCTTGCCTGGCTTGGCTGCTGGTCGGGCTGGGCTGGGGTGGGCGTTGGGGTTTGGGCTTTGGGCTTTGGGCTTTGGGCTTTTTTTTTTTTTTTGGCCCATCCCCACCCAGGAGCATGGCTGGATTTTTTGGCTGTGAAAAAAAAAAAGCCAAAAGCAGCCCCAGAGCTGCACCATGCCAAAAAGCCCCTTTGGAAAAAGCTCCTGGGGTGCAGTGTGCCAAAAAGCCCCTCTGCAAAAAGTTCCTAGAGCATGGCGCAGTGAAATGCCCCTTTGCGCTGCACTCCTGGGCTGGACTAAGCTAGGCTTTTGGCTTTTTTCTTTCCATAGCACAAAGCAGAAGACAAAAGCTCAGCCATCCCCATCCAAGAGCGTGGCTGGATTGGGGTGGGTGCTCACTTGCAATTCTCAGTTAACAACAGCAACCAGAACTGCCAGAATCGCAGTTGCTAATCAGTGTGGTCATGTGACATCTTGTTTTACAACTGCATCACTTAGCAATGGAAACGCCAGTCCCAATTGTGGTCATAAGTCAAGGACTACCTATATAGGATAAGACCAGAGTTAATATTCCAAGTCCTGAATGGCATTTCTCAGCCATTCAACAAGGTGATTGCAGCCATTCTTTATTAAACATCCTTTGTGCAATGCAACTTTTTGTTGTGTTACCTTCATTTTAAGATCAAAGTAAGCTAATTTTGCATTATATAAGCGACTTCCCATTGATTTACAAGAACAGGACTATCACGCTTGTTTTTCCAAATGTTATATAATTAATGTATTTAATTTAATTCCTGTCCTGAGTTGTCAGTACTTCCTAGTTGGTGGGACGCCAGCAACAGTATACTGGGCTTTGGAGCTTTAGTTGCAATTGTGGCATATTAGCCAAAACTGAAAGATGCTGTACTTATATCATTAGCAAGGAGTGCTGAATGTTGCAAAGGTGCAGTTAAGGCTAGTAACCTAGACTATAACTTCTCTGTCTTATTCTGTTAAATGTAAAGCTTTCATATAACCCTAAAATGTTATATGAAAGCCTCAGTCTCCAAATCCATGATGAGCAAAGGAAATAAATATCTGTAGCCTGTCTTGTGATTCCCCTGGCTTACTCTTTTTCTGTACTTTGCATAAAGTTACTTTCCCCAAAGGAAATAGCATGATAGGTATGTAGGTATTTAATTCCTTATTGTGACCAACTAGCTACACCTATTTCCTTAAAAGTCAACACAACTAGTTTTCTCCTGATAAGTGTCTGTCTCCCACCTTATAGCCACATCTCCCAAATTGACAGAAGATGGGATTGCTTTGATTTAATTCCTCAGTTTTCAAATTCAATAGCAATATTCACTGGTGACTTTAATGCTATGATGGGAATTAATGTCACGACTTTTTCTCACCATTATAGTGCCTCATTTTCTCCTCAACTGGGATGACCTCAGAGAAACCTAAAATATAAAAATATTGGTATTAATATGGTCCTTACTCTCAGTGGAGTTTGATTTGGAGCTACTTAATGGATCTATGCCAGGTGACTTAAGAGCAACCTTTGATTCAATACTATGTAGCAGATTCTGGAGGAAAATAGCTGCCACATTGCTCAATTCGTCTTTTTAAACTGATAGTAGCATTGCATCTATTACCACCCAAGTAAAGAGTAATCACAGTGGCAATTGAAACCACAATTTAAATACATCCCAATCCAAAAGAGTATTAAATAAGGATGTATTCTTGCCCCACTGTGTTTAATTTATACATCAATAACATAGTTGAGGTTTTTGCTGAGCCAAAATTCCATCCGCCATCTCTTGCCCACTATCCACCTCTGTTCTCCTATACGCTGATGATGCAGCCATTCTATCTGTAACTTGTGGGTCTCTGCAGATGCCTTTGTCAGCTGACTGCTCTAGAGAACATCTTGAAATTAATTAAAACAAAGTTTTAGTATTTCTGAAGTTTCCAACAGGCTGAAAGATCAATGGGAGACTTATTGAGCAGGTTAAAACTTTTAAACATTTAGGTGTCCATTTGCAATCTTTTACTTGCTTGTTTAATCAAGTAAGTGAACTTAATATAGGAGCTCAAAGAGCATCCCTTGCAATTATCAAATATGCAAATGATTATGGTAACAACTATCTCCCAGGAGCAATTAAAGTATTTAAAGCTAAAGTTCTGGGTTTGATGCTATATGATTCCTTGTTGTGCATCTATGAGACCACCTCTGTATTCAAAAGCATTAAATCAAAATTCTGAAACAAACTAACACACTTCCCTAACTTGATTGTTAATGCCATTATACAGCTAGAACTTTGGGGCTTGTTTGAGACTTTGTTGCCTTAGATTCTGGTCAAAGCGAATCCTTTGGTGAACTTCCTTGGTCTACCTTACCTTGCAAGACAGGTTTATTTCTTCCCTAAGGCAACAAATTTTAATTTGGCTTACTGTGGCCTCTTGGTTCCTGCAATACCATTTCTGGCTTCAATCAAACCTTGGCTGAATTAAAAACTAAATTTTAAAAAATTTTAAAAAATTTCGAAGACAGTCAATGTGATAGAATCAGTATTTCCCATCTCTGCTATAGTGCAATTTCTTCCTTCATCCTGGACTAGCCCTATATATGTTTTCAATGTTTTATGTGCCCCACTCCTTCTCTGTGGCCCATATTAGGGTGACAACAGGCCAATGTGCCAGCCTCCATTACAAAAATCACACTTGTGTATGTTCTGATATGGAGGTTGAAACTGTATCATGTGCACTGCTAGAATGCATACTCTACACTCAGTGGTGAATGGATCTCATATTAGCAATTGTCAGAGAACTTAATTGTTCTTATGACCATGAGGTGACCACTCTCCTCCTTTGCAACCAATTTCCAGATATCCCCAAGAGGTTTGTACAATTTTTATCAATAGCTATGGCTTATGGAAGTCATTTGGTGCCTTCTTCATACTATTAACTGTTTCAAGCCTTCTTGTAACTTTTCTTTTTTCTTTTTTTATTCCTTTAATATAAGTATATTTTATCTGCAGTATTGGATGTCTTTTTATCAATGGTCTTAGACCGTAAGAAAATAAACTGAATTTTGACTTCTTATAATAAAAATGGATTATTGCCTTTGGAATGTTGAGTCTCCAAAATGTCTTCACAGATGTGGAACCTTAAAAGCAGCTGTGGCATTAGGGCCAAATAGCCTAGATAACATATGTTTGTTGAACAAAAAGAGCTTGGTATCAAATAATATTATGAGAGGACCATTTTATCCCCAACATTGATTTAGCAGTTGTTTTTAAACTCAAGTTATCCCATAATGGATTGTCTCATGGATAAAAGGGTCAACATTATTTATAGCTCAATGTTTTTTGTAT